CTTTTGAAATTATCATAGTGATGAAATCACGAACACAGAAGCAGAATATAACAGCTGATATAGACATGATCGATTTTATTTCTTTTAGCTAGACAAAATATTATGTGTTCTCGGTGTATGTCTATGTGTCTATGAGCGTTTTTTTCTGTTTTAGGATGTGTATGTAAGGGAAGGAAGGGGTGGGGTGACAATCTGTGAATAGGTATGTGAGTGGGAGGATGTTTATGGAGTGTGTGTGTGTGTGTGTGTGTGTGTGTGTGTGTGTGTGTGTGTGTGTGTGTGTGTGTGTGTGTGTGTGTGTGTGTGTGTGGTGTGTGTGTGAGTGTGAGTGTGAGTGTGTGTGTGTGTGTGTGTGTGTGTTGTGTGTGTGTGTGTGTGTGTGTGTGTGTGTGTGTGTGTGTGTGTGGAGAGAGAGTTAGAGAATCACGCAATACACTAAATAGCACAGCTTTAAAACTTATAATTTTCTCATCTTCCTTTCCTTTATTTTAATAAGCGAGAGACAAATCTTCAATACGGGAAGAAGAGAGTATTTAAGGAAAGGAAAAGTTAGAAAAATATCAAAAACACGACCAGAATTTAAAAAATAATAATAAATAAATAAAAAATAATAACAATAATAATAATGAAGAGATAACCAAGATTAAGACAAAAGAAAGTTCATTTCAAAACCTCAACAAACAACAACAATGATAATAGTAATAATAATAACAACAAAAGACATTACGAACAAATTCTATAAGCCCGTACCTTTCCCTCAAGCCTCCGTGGCACAATCGGTTAGCGCGTTCGGCTGTTAACCGAAAGGTTGGTGGTTCGAGCCCACCCGGGGGCGTTGTTTTCTTAAGACACGTGTGGCGGTGCACATCTGTTTGGTATAGCGGGTATTCATATATCGTGTCTAGCTTCCCACCCAGTTAATTACTATCTCATTTTTAATTATGTTTTTGTTTATCCATCATTTTATTTGTATGTATTCATGTATCCATCCATCCTTTATCTATCCATCCAACTATCCATTCTAATACTGATTGCCTTGTATACCTGTTTTTTCTAGCATATACTCGAGAATGCCGGGCAATTTCTGGGTAATGTGCAGGTGTAAGTGCGCACATGGGTATGCTTATTGCCAGTCTTTCCTCGGCCACATGTGGGGATTCCTGGAATATCCCCCAGTCTGGTTTAGCTTAAAAAGGCCGTTAATAATAATAGATGTTGAATGCTTTGATTCTATATGGACGTATAGACTAATAAACCATTAAGGACGGAAATGATGATAAAAATGAATTTGATGAACAGTAATGCGTAATAAAGCTTACAGAGAAGGATTACATTTAACCTGCCCCCACCACCAATAGCACATCACTATGAGAAATTCAATGATCGTTAATGGTTTCTAATAATGGAAGCTGATTGGTCGAGTCTGAGAGATTGTCACAATCAGCCGGCTGTTGGCAAGAGGGTTACGTGTGGGATTTATAATGTTTTGGTTTTCTTTGCGAGAGGTGTGAAATGCAATAGTTTTTTTTTTTTCAAAGTCTAATTATTTAGGATATAAGTTCTGCCTGGGGGAGTGATGCTTAATTGAATTCCATATAGTCAATCAATTTACTCGCAGTCACATTAAAGCAGATACGGCTAGAACTGGAGTTATGTTACAGACCCGCCTTCGAAAATAAATTGCTCTATATCATCTCGGTTACTGTCATTAATTTGTATTAAAATACATTTTATTCCCTGCCTTGCTTTGAAGTCCGTTTCTGAGGGAGTTTCACTTTTCATGCTGTAACTAAAATCTGGCTCACCAATAACTGCACAAAGCCATTTGTCTACTTTCAGAGCATCTTTTCTAGACCGAAGCTGATCCATGTTTCCCTGTATAGAGAAACTTTTGAAGAGACCCCTTGACTATCATCTGACGCTCTTCTTCAAGAACTATAATCTCATTCCTTATGCTTTTTGTAATCCAAAGGCCTTCGTCATGCCATGGCCTTTATTTACCAGAGACAAACGTATTTGCCAAATAGATGTGGTAAAGTATCGTCCTCATGTGTCTGGGCATGTAACTTCACCCACACCTAGTGATGCCCCTGTTCATCCTCTGTTTGTGTGTGTGTGTGTGTGGGGGGGGTCGTGTGTGTAAGTCTAAACATCATCCCATACAAATAGTCTTGCTCCCCAATACCTAAAAGCAGTACCCACACAAGCACAGACTTCCACGTGCCCAACGGTCGTAGACAAATAAACCAAATTTATATATCCCCTAAGATAAATAATTCAATATTCTTATAGTCATTAAACTAAATACTTAAATTTGGCTATCAGCGAACAAAAAGAGTAATATAACCACCGGTAAATTCTCGATAATAAACTGTCCGATATATTCATCGCCTTTCTATGTTCTCTCAAACAATTATCATATTATTATTCTATGAATAAATACCAGAATACCAGGGTACGAGAATGCGCAGGATTAGAATAATAAATCACTTTTCATTCCCTAAATAATTACTCTTCATTCTCCATAGCGCAACCCACCCCCGCGCCGAAGATCCCTTTCGCAACCCTGATTTAAGAACCAAAACAAAGGATCTTCTCGCGCTTCTGCCTTGCGTTTCTGTGGTAAGTTGGTAATGGCTATTTTCGTCTCCTTTTTTCTCCCTTTTTTGCCATTTTTGTTTGTGATTCGCTTACCTGCTTGTTCTTCATTTAGGAAACGGTGTGAGGTGTGCGGTTAGAGGTGATATAAGGTGTTTTTGAAGGAGAAATACGGCGTTTTAAGTGGTTGTAATAGGAGTAGAGATTCGAAGATTTGAATTTTAGCGTGTGCAATGTACTTCAAAATGATTATTTTAAGAGTTTTCTTTTTGTGTAAGTTGTTAGTTATGTGTCAAGACTTTGTCATTTTCTTGTTATGTCGTATGGGTCGCAGCTCTTTGACAATTTCTTTGTCATTAAAGGGGAAAGTATAGCTATATATCCCCCCCTTTTGCGTCATGGTAATAACATGGCGACATCAAGACAAACGTTTGGGTTGATATTAACATAATTTTATAATGCTCTACAATGCACTATGATAAGAATTTTAATTATTCTTGAGTGTTGTATTGTCTAGGAAATGTTATGCACACCAATAGGCTTTAATTTGTTATTAAAACTTCTCAGGTTATGCTACTTTGGTCATTGAGGAATGAGATTTACTAGGAAAGTTTACATTAAAGGATTAAAATAAAAGTAAAGTAAATTAAAATGTGGGAAATTAAAAATCTGAGCTAAGGATAGTATTTCAGATGACAAAGAAAGTGATAAATGTTTAAACTCGAGATAAGATTCCGCCATGGATGACTCGACAGGGTATTGCATGAACGAACAAGCGAGTAAACTGCATCTTAAATGCACAAACTACCAGTAGGATCGCTGTATGAACAAAAAAAAATCCTAATCCGGGGTCATAGCCCCTGGACCCCCTCCCGCTTGTCTAACTTCCCTACCAGTGCCTCTAGATCGCCACTGATTACATTTAGAAATACAAAATTAGTTTACCTCAAAGTTGAGGGGACGATGGTTGGGAAGTGATGAACCACAGACAAAATTCTACAACTAGAATAGTTAGTTTTGCTGAGTTTAGTGTTATCCCCGACATTGTAACAATTTCAGTGAGAGATCTATTTCACTGCAAATTTGGAAAAATAAATCAGAAATGCAAGAAGCACTGTAAACAACTGTCACCTTGGAACAAACAACGGGAACTGTGACAGCAGAACTGTCAAATTTGCCAGGAGAGGGTAGCGATGCGCAAGTATGGATGTACCATGTATTTCAAATGAAACTATGGTACGTGTATGGTAAAGTTGATCACATCGGGTATTTAAGGAATGAACATTTGACAAATGCGTTTTTCGTTAAAATTTCATATAAATTAGAATACAGAAATACATTTTACTACAGTGCACTTATAAGAAATATGGCGTGATGTCATGGGCTACATGTGGCAAAACAATTCATGTTGGGTTCCCACGCAGCTAGGTGGTTCGCTGCGATGCGAGGAGGGCTGGACTTCGTCGCTGGAGGCACATGGGGACTTAGTCTCCACACGGCATTCTGCGTGCCACATTTTGATCGTTTAACTCAAATAAGTTTGCTTCTGCAAATCAATTTTGATAATAATGAATGTAGGTTTTCATCGCCTACGTAGCAATGATCTGCAATTTTCTCCTAGTCGGTGCGGTCCTATCGCTCGTAAAAAAAGCGAGTAAGATTATTCTTGAACATAATACTGTAATTATCTGATTGCCTTTGTAATTGCCATGGTCACCACTCCTTTGAAACCACATGTATTTATTCTAGTAAGATCAACATACGATCCTCTCTTTGATAATAAATCACTGTAAGATTTAAGATTAATGTCTTGTCACAATATACTCAATTGTTGGTTGGTTTTTGCTAGGGTACCTGTGGTGTGGAAGCCATGACCATTCGTTTTTTTTAGCAGAGTTGCCGTGTTCTGTATGGCCACTGCCTTATTTTTTTTTTTTATTTTATTTATTTTTCTTCTTTTTTGTAAGTGATTAACAAATAAAGTTCATTAAAACTTAAATTTAAATCTGTCTCTACAACCAGATTGGAAAAATTAAGGAACCATGGCCAGTTTTGGGGTGAAGACAGGAGGAACAGCTGGAGCAACAGCAGGAGGTGGATTCTCTTTTGGAAATCAGAACCCTACTGGTAAGATTCTCTCTCTCTCCTCACTTCTTCATTCCTCCTTCCCTCACTCTTTCCCATCTCATCACATCTCAACGTATCGCTTCGCATTGTATCGCATCACATCACATTCCGTCCCACCCTATCCTAACCTACCCTTCCTTAACCCTGCCTTGTTTTTCCCCTCTTTTTTCTCAGATGCCACTACTTATATCCTCTGCCTATTGCTATTTGATTTCTTACATTTGATACACTGCATAAAAATATAAAAATAAAGGAGACCAAACATAAGTTTGTTAACCCTTTGGATCTTAGGTGACATCACAAAATATCAACCAAGGGCTGGGTGATGGGAATGTGCTCTCATGAAAATTTTGGCTAAATGAGTCTATAAAGCTTGTTGAGGAAGATTAGACTCCGTGTGCCTTTAAGAGAGGGTTCTTGCCTTATTTCCATCAGTAAACAAGGGTGGCAATTACCATCTGTAAGTCATGCATGGAATGGCACTGGCTCCAGGGAGGACACTAGTTTTATGCTGAGGATCCTATTCCTTCTTGCCATGACCAGTGTTGCAGGGTGTATAACAGAAAATAGAATACAAAAATGTATAAAATTACACACAACACCATTACTTATCATTATTATATCATTGATTGTACACTACCAAGAGAGATAGATTAGTTTATTACCATTTTGATACAGCATAACAAATAAATACAGACCTTGGAAAGTGGCATATAAACCAAAAACATATATGCAGTGTAAGAAATGTAAAGGGGATGCAAGGAGCCTTGATACTGCTAAGAAGTTTTCATGTGGGTTGGCCCTACAAACTACACACCTATGAGAGTAGCCACTAAAGTAAACCTAATGCTCAGATTTTGAACCATGTGCAGACCATGAGGCACCAGATCCAACGGGTAAATTGTATCACCTAATTGACAGGACCCTCTTTAAAAATGTCTTTATCAACAGGGGGTGGATTCAATTTTGGCCAGGTACAGCAACAACAGGCAACACCTGCAGCTGGAGCAGTGGCTCCTCAAGCTAACAAGAGCCTTTTTGGCACTCCGCCTGCAGGCACTCAGCGCCTAGGGTTTAATTTTGGCACTCTGGGTGGTACTCCCAGTACCTCAGCAGGTAATTCATATTGGAAACTGAGAAAGAAGTTTTTCTAATGGTAGATAAAGTTTGGATTTGTTCTATGTAAATTTGAATTTACATTACAATATTATTATTTGATAATTATATAACTTATGATGAGTACTGTAAAGTATGGTAGGTACTTAGAATCTGATAAAGTATATTTTTTATCTGAAGCTGTGATTTCACTACCTTGAATGAACTCCAGCCCCTTAGCTACTTCCAGCTGCCCTGCTCTGGGTATTGGTTATTCCCCCAAGCTAGCTCATGTCAATGCAAGCTTCAAAATATAATAGGAAGCTTGAAGCTCAATAGGTTATTTAATTTTTATGCTAATTTTTTGCTAATTAATTGAGCAAAAAATACAGCATGAAACCCAGAAAAACTTTAAGCATTTACAGTATATAATTCATGGCTGTTTTAAGGAAGGTGGCTAGTCTGCCTATGTGTATTGCTATTCTTTGTCTGATACAAATACATATCTATTTATTGTTTCAGTATAGGTTACATAATTGAATATGTTTGGTACTTATACAGAGTAGGACACTATAAAGCAGTGCCATTGGTTCTTTTTTTTGTGTTCTGGCAAAGGCAGATGAACCTCCTCATGTGAAATTAGAACTGATTAATTTTATTATTTGGCGATAAATTACTGAAAAGGTTAAGAATCTTTGTATAGTCCAAAATATAGATGGTAAGAGTCTGTTTGTCTTTGTCAACGATGGAAGCAAAGAAAAAATGGCATCCCTGACTTAGCTTAGATTTGTAGACTTTGATAAGCAATTGCAAACTTTCCTTTGGTGTTAGTACAATTTTTATGATACCTAATAGTGTTGTATTTCTGTATGTACTTCATCTTTATTACTTTGGTTATACATCATTGAGGAACCCAAAATTTTAACTTAGAAAGTAGAACTTTGGCCAAAAAGATGATAATCTAGACCCTGAGCATGGTTCTAGAGTTCAAGAAACCTAGTGTAACCACAGCTTGAGTGTAGTGTAAAGTGCTCTGTCTTTTCACAAAGTTGTAGCTCCATATAATAATAGGAAGGTGTGAGACCTCAAATGGATCAAATTACAACTCATTGGAGGCTATTCCAGAATCATTAGTATAGCATTATTATTTAACATGCATTTTTGTGGAAAGTGGTCACAGCAAAGGCAAAACAACACATTATTTGTAACAAATACCATACTAAAAGCTTATAAACTAGCCACTAGAATTGCATTAATTTTCATTGATACGCTTAGTAAGTACACAGTAGCAATAATTTGGGTAGCTGTTCGTAACAAGTTGAGTGATGGTACAGTAACAAGCTTCAATAGAAAAGGTTGCGATTAAACAAGAATTGGAAGGAAGTCTCAAGAAATGTTGATTACGCTTAAAAATAGGAGTTAATCCGATCAGGACGGCAGGCTCCAAGACCTTGTTATTCACCAGGACAGTAATGTTCAAAGTTGTCATCTTTGAGTAGAATTGAGATTGAAGTTATCATTTAGTCACCAGTGAGATGAGAGAGTTCTTATTGGCTTGCCACCACCTCCTGTCTCTCTTTGTACACCACCATTGCCATGGTCCACTTATCAGTCTCTCATTCCCTTTCACCCTCTTCCAGTCCTCTCTTTTTATATTTGTATGTATGTATGTTAGGAGGT